TATATATATTCTGTTTTATTATTTGAACACATGTGGACTAATATGACTAATAAAACTTGGTAACTAGTGGCAACTGTTTCGAGTATATTGACCCAGTTGCTACGTTGTGATGGGCGACAGATGAGAAGAAAGTGGAACTGAAATGCCGCAACATTCTCTACTTATTAAAACACCCTGCCATTTTGTTTTTTCTTCCTCTTAAATCACCAATTTAAATCCTTAGACTTTCTGTTTCACCCCAAGGATAAGTCTATGACGGAACCGGAGCTGAAATTTTATATGAAACGATGGCACAGACCCATAGAGTCTGTGGTTATGGCTTGATGGCTGTATGTTGATATAATTCACTTATATCAACAGTTCTTCCCTTTAAAATACTATAGATTGCCTCTTTTATCCATGCAACACTACTTTTTAAATGTACTGTTGGATTACACTGTAAGATAAATTTAGTTTTATTCCATAAGCTTCCTTCCTTAATTAGAACATCCAAGATAATTAATTATAGTGGATACAGATATTTTAAAATGAAATATAATACAAGTGAGTTTTTAATGTAATAATTACAATACTGGAAATGAAAACGTCACGAAGGACTCTTGAACAGTATCATCCAGATATAGAATGTACGTGCGTTTATGGCATTTACCATAATTAGATTTTTTAGATAAAAGTTTATAAACCAACATTTATACATAAGATATATTAATTACCGGTATCTCGTGTTAATATTTTTTTTTTTTTTTATAGCTTCCAAAGACCAAATAGAAGAAATTACTTGTTTAGCGTCGCATCACAACACAATTTTAGATGGGGAGGGGTGGCTTTTTTCCCTTTGTTTTGTTTTTTTAAATTATACAATATCACTAAAAATAATCACTTTCAATAGGTTGGTGAAATCATTGTTATAATTCACTTAAAATAGGTCTATACTTAATTTGATTAGAATTTCCTGGACAATTTCTATTTATATTTAAAATAAAGAAATCCCGCTTCCAAGCTTTTTATTTTGCTAGAAAATTTAGGTGGGAGTGGTTTTGGCCTATTATAAATAGGCCTACAAACATTATTTAAAAAAAAATAAATATAACAATCATACGACGCTGTCCGAGTTGCCCAACATCAACGATTATAAGGATCGATCACAATAATTAAATTATTGAGGATAGCAATATTAGGTCGATCAATTAAAGAAACCATTACACTACATATAACAATAATAATAAAACAAAGGACACTATAATGAATGATGTTGCTTCCAAGAAAAAAAAATAATAAGTTAATAATAATAAGTTTCTTTATTTTAAATCAACCGATTATTGATCATTGTTGTTTGTTTTTATAAGCGAGAATCAGATTCACTTAACATTGTAACATAAACCAAACTTCAGTAGTACATTAAAATAATCAACAAAAGAATAGAATTATTATACAGTAAAACTTTTAAAATGCCCTTAATCTTACAGGACTATTTTTATAAGTTTTAGCAGTGGTACGACAAGCTGTTTAGATTGTCTTAAAAGAATGTTA